TCCTGCCATGYGTGGGAAACAACTGCAAATAATGAGCTTGGCTTCTGGGCTGGCTACGCTGACAAACTGGCCTGAAGTTACTTTTTGATACCACAAACTAAGACAAGGAATTAGACAGCATGGAGATCTTCAAAGATGATGAGCACTTCCTCTTCGACAGGACTTTTGAGATGCTGCTCTGAAGATTTCCAAGTGCTTCAGCCAGCATCACATCCATCTTTCTCCCATTTATTTTGGAAGAACTTGCAAAAGAGGTTTTTTTTAAAAATTAACTTCATGAATGGGAGAGTATTCTAACCTTTAAGATAGTCTTGAATTTATACGTTAATTATGAATAGAACTTGAGATATTTAGGACTGCCTTAAACATCTAAAATCAGGTTTATATTAGTTTCTTCCCTTTCATAATCTATTTTTGACAGTTTATCATTTCACGGATTTGGGTCTCTGACAGCCTCCTTGTGCTATGAACCAGTGAATGAAAGAAATCTTGTCCTTCCTCAACCTTCTCTGTATAAATACTTAAACAAACACAATCTTAATGTTTTCTATGCAACCTTCAGTTTTTCTTAAGTTTTGATAGTTATTTCCTATAAATATGTATTTTCATGTATTTTTTTGAAATATATATTTTATATCTAATATCTATATTTGCCTGGATCTAACATCTATCATCCATTCCCCTCAGCATGCTTTTCAAAATGTCTTTGCATCTCTGTAGCTCAATTAAAATAATAACTCAGTGTTGCTCCTAACTGAAATTCAGTATCTACGAGAAAGATTACCTTCCAAATCAAAACACTAAATTATTAACTGCATATTTATACAGAAAAAGAGGATATCCTCAGCGGCATAAAGTTATATTCCATTTTTAGCATTAACTGGAATTCTTGATTCTTTGTGGTACTAAAAAGCAACTGCACCATTTTTATTATACTCCATCTTTGCTTACCTCATAGTTAAAAATCATAGAAGGATTTTTATATTATAATAAGAATAAACATATCTATTGTTGGCCTAATTTATATTTAGCCCCCATCTCCTACATAACAAACATGAGCAAGAGAGTAATTTATCCTGGGTCTCTCCTAGCTGAGGACAGTTATGTCAATAAAAAGCCAGCTTCTAYGCTAGAAATATTGTCATTTAATTACTAGGTACTCACTTCTTGCTTTCTACAGTGTCGTAGAAGGACTAGAGAGAAAAGAGAGGGAAAAAAAAAAAGACATTTTGCATAATAAAACTACATTTCAAGGGCTCAAATCATCATGTTGCACCCGAAATGTTCTGACATCCCACCAGACCATTTCTAAAAGCTTGTCCATCAGGTAATAGCTTAACACTGACAGGAAAACTTCAGCACACTCAAATGCTATTACCAGTATGTAGCATCCTGTTGGAATGGTCATTTCAGGCCTGACAGGGCAGATCTTGCCACGGCAACAGTTTCTCTTGTCTACAAAAAAGGGAAAGCAGCAGCACGAAACACGGCTTTGCTTTTCAGGCACATTTCAAATGACTGTATTCCAGTGTCTTAACCAAGAGATCACGGAAGTTAACTAATTAATTCTTAAAAGGAATAAAGATTTTTGCAGCATGAAGGGAACATAGCTGAATGTGTTGCTACACAGTGGCGTATCCTGCGTGAAGTTGTGGATGAAATGGCAGCAAGCAGCRGCTTCAGGAAGAGCGCGTGGCTTCTCCCGCCTGACCTGCAGCCAGCCGCCTCATCCCATTTCATCCAGCACCCCTTGCAAGGCTTTGGTGGGTCTTGGAGCCTCCGATCCCAGGGAAAAGGAGATTACTGTCAGGCTGGCTCTGCCCACAGGCCATTCGGCAAGGTCTTCACAACAATACGGTAGAGAAGGAGATCCTGCTCATCTTCTCTATTACTAGAATAATATCATGGAAGCTCATCTGAATAAAAGTATTTTCAAATAGAACTCAAGAAAGCACTTTTTTTGTTTAAAATATTTCCATAGGTTTTTTGAAGGGGTTGTATTTAAAAGTGCTGAAATGGCAGCTTTTCATTAGAATATGACGACTTTAATGCAGAAAATCCCTCAGGCCCAGCGGAGATCTGGGATCCACACGGCATTCATAGTTAGCAGAGAGATCAAAGACAGCTGAAAGAAAGGCCTGAGTGCTGGTAATGCCCCCCGGCGCCTGCAAATACCCTTCTGCCCGACCAGGCAACTCCTACAGCTCCACATGGAGCCGCCTCGTGCACTCAGGTACTGCACAAAACACTGCTCTGTGCCCCTAACCTTTGAGTTTTACATAAAATCTATTAACTTGACACATGCAAGGCCCCCCTCAGCAGCACCTTAGGAAAAGCACTTTCCGTACAAGCAATTGCTTCTTCTAGTCCATAGGCAGCACATCAAATATTAACATGGGCGATGAATTGCTGAGTGAACTCTTGCCTAATTACTGCTGCTTATTTTCTAACTACTGAGCAAACCACTAACCTCAGATTAGAGCACATTTCACCAAATCGAAATGTGCCTACACAAGCACTTCCCTCTACTCTTGTAACTGCTCCAGCCCCACTCCATAAAATTACAAAGATTTTGTGAAAATCACTTCTGAAATTACTTACAAACACAAGAAGCAAAACCAAATTCCAGGGTCACACCTGAAAGAAGATGCTCTTTCCTACATACTCGTGCTCAGCAAGGTTTTCTTAAGACTTTCCATGTAAGAAGCCCCATTTCAGCATTTCCCTCTCCCAGAATAAACCCTGATCTTAGAGAATCTAATCTTCACTTCCACCCACTTCCACATCATGACTTCCCTCATTGTGGTTAGACAAACAGCTAGGGTCATATGTCTAACCATATGCTTATGTGCAACATAACCCTCCAACATACTCTATTAAATTCTAATAGGCAATTCCCCTCAAATGAAAATTTCCAGAGTCTAACATTACATATGTCAGAAACATTTCCTTCTACAACTGTTTCTCCAAGAAAAACAAGGAAAAAAAGATCAAAGCCTAGTGTTCACTGGGAATCTCTATTATATAGACTAATTCAAAATTAAAACACAGCAGAGTCTTCACAACTGCAAAGCTATGCTGATTGCTACTTGAAGCCAGAAGGTTCTTCCTTAATGTCCAAGCAATCAAGCGTGCSTAAGGCCTAGGAAAGTTACCTTATCTGCAGGATCAGATATAGATACTGCTGGAGTCAGCACGCCACACTAGCTGGACCCACACAGTCTGTTCTGATATGAGGAATTAAGTTTCCTTGATGTCATGTATCGAACAGATAATGCAACGAGCACTTCCTTTGAAGTGCCCGGGGAGCAGGTAAGAAGGAGAGTAAGCTGGCAGAACTTCACTGAACTCACTCAAGTGCTCTTGGCTCACCCAGGCTGAGGCTTCATCTAGAAGAACATATAAGGCCCTGAATCCCTTGCAAGGTATTTATAAATTAAAATGTAGGTATTTTATAAATGAAAATTAAAAATTATTCTGCCATGTAGACAWAATTTCTATAGTTCCTATATGCAATTCCCCAGATACATCATGGAGCTGGCAGAATGAGTCACGTTCTCTGATGAGCAGGTTGTCCCGTGTGCAGCAGCTTTGGCCCACTCCGAGTAGAGGGACCTTCCTTCTTTCTTCTTCCCTTCCCTCTTTCCCTGAAGGCAATCCCTTCCTCCTTCCTCCCCCCTAGCACTAGGCACAATTTCTGGGTAGGATAAGAGGTTCTGTCTGCAGTATCAGATACCTGGGAGGCTTTCTACAAAAAGGCAGAGACCTGATGGGAAATGCTCCCCTCGTCACCCGATACTTTGGAATACAAGATGGCGCAGGAAGGCCAAAGTACTACTGAAGCTTATTGCCCGCTTCATCACTAAATTTGCTTAATAATCTTTTGCTGAAAAGGTATATTTGACAGTTTTATGGTTTCTAACCATTAGGCAATTCTGAGACTGCATAAGATTAAAGGCAAGGTCATAAAGAATTTATATGAAAACCAGGCATTTATAGCTGCTCCTTTGGGACACATCAACTAGCGTCGTTTATAGTATCACACTGTGTGACATTACAATTGACATGTTTATGATTAAACCAACAGTTCAGGATTTTCAGGCATTTAAACACAGGAGGTAACTAAATGATTCATTTAAAAAAAAAAAAAGAAAAAAGAGAAAAGCTAACACTCCTCTTGAAAAAAGAAAATAACATGAACATCTTAACTGCTTTATAAGACAAGCTAAATATTAGAGATTCACAGACGTATGATTTCCCAACGTGTTAATATTCCTTGGAGATAAAAATACAGTGATGGTGGCTGAGACCCAGATTAATGACTGATGATCAGGTAAATGACTCTGAAGACATTTATGAGAATACATCTTGAAATGTTATTAATGGAATATATAAATGTAAGAAAGTCCAGAGTGGAGTTGTTACAAATGCAAAAGAAGTCCTAATAACTTGAACACATATGAAGTCGAACAATAACTTGAGCAAAATTATCTGTAGTAATAAAGTTAGGCAAGATTAGTAATCAGGAAATATAAATGCTCTATGTTGGCCTACCAGGATGCATAATGTACACACTGAAATTTCACTGCATATCTTCAGGCTGTCTAAATAGCTCAAATTTCTTCTGAAGAAAGGACTCTCTTTTCTTGCCTCCAAAGGATATAAGTTAAAGCTTCTTTAGAATGTCAAAAATACATTTTGATTTTTTTATATTTTTTTGCTTCCTTTTAGTGAAAAAATAACGCATTTAGCATTAATCAATAGCACCTCTTCTACTCTCCTGCTAGGTTTAGCTAAAGCTAGACAAACGAGTGACTCTTTTCATCTTTTTTCTCCGAAGGCTTTTTCATCGATTTTGTCCTTGCTGGGAGTAATGACAGCATTAGGAGAATTCTGTTCAGGTTTGAAACAAGGCCTCTCTCCCCTGCACTGCTCACATTATGTGTAGAACACAAATGCAAGAAGCCCCAGTTCAACTACAGAAAGTAAAAAGCACTTACCTTCTGTTGGTGATGTCTTCAGATGTCTGCAGAGCCCCTCTGTTTCCCCATATGTCTCTTTAATTTTTACTACTGCTTCTGTTCCTCGCAGTTCCATGAGGGAGCGCAGTTCTTGCAGCGTGCACCCAAACTCTCCTGCATGGTTGGCCTCATTTCTTTGGTTCTTGGAGTAAAAATCGCTGTTTGTCATGTCACCCATTGTTGCTGATTATATTGCTCCACTCTTTACAGCTGATACAATCTCAAAACTATTTAAAAATTGAAGAAAAGAAATCTCAAATTCCGACCTAAGATATTAAAAAGAATCCAGTTTGTCCAGCAGGCGGAGGGGAGATGCCCCTGACGTGCAAGGTGTCCCTGAGTGGCTCGTGGTCCGCAGAAAGGCTGCTCTCAAGGCTGCAGACCAGCTCCACTCCATTCACTGCTTCCCATTCTGCTGCTCGCGAGCTGTAGCATCTACATGGTCATTGCTTCCTTGGGACCTTTGGGAACAACCAGAAAAGAGGCGTCACAGGAGAGCACCAACACTCTACAAACAGGATTACAAGTTCATTTTTAGCACTGTTGCAGTTTGATTTTGCATTTAAGGCAAGCCAGGCACCGTAGAGATGCGCTGCAAAACGCTGCCGGTCCTCAGAGCTATCGCCAGTGACAAGGACACCCCAGCTCTGTCACGTGCAGAGCTCGCTCTGGCTACAGCACCAAGAGCAGGGTCTGTTACTGCATTTGAGCCCCTAGAGCACCCGCTAAATGAGATGGCTCATGAATATTAATAGGCAAGCCATTAGTCCCGCATCCTAGATGAACCTCCAGCATGTGCTCCGGTTCATGTAGCCACATCAATCTTTCATATGACAAGCACAAAAACCCTCATAAAGACTGCAAAGTAGCAAAAATTATTAAACGCTATCATTTTTTAATACTTAAAACCATTTAAAAAACTGCTCTTCCATAAAGTAGAATTGGTGGAAAAACTAGGAACAATCATTACAAATTCCGAATGCATTTAAATACATTAGATTATGCAGCCTTGCCTTCTACAGAGGTAAACAAGCCCCAGAGCAGAGAGAAAACACTACAGTGCCTTAGCCTGAACAAGAGCCTGTCTGGTGACTCGCTCTCCTGGCGGAGATGGTGGCCCAGAGTCGCGTGAGCATGGAGGTGCACACATGTGCACAGCTCGCGGTGTGCAGCACGATACGCTCGCAACACCTGTGAGACAGTGGGCTCCTTGCTAAAACCAGCATGTGAAAGCTGCTTCCCATACTCTAACAAAGCTGGTCTAAATGCTGCAGAAAGCAGCTATTGCATTGGACATAGAGTTTTAACAGGGATTAAATGTTTCTGTTTTGTCTCAAGCAGGTTACTGCCTGCACACTACTTAAATAGTTTATTTTTGCAATAAAAAAAAAAAAAAAAAGATCACAGCATCTACCTGGTGGTCGGCAGAATTACAAACCCACCCTGGGCAAAGTGCAGATTCTGAACTCCCCACGTGCAATAATGCGGTCTGCAAATGAGTGCACGGATCAAGGATATAAAAGGATCCTAAATTATTTCAAGCTCCAATCTTACATTCAAGGAACTGTAACTTTCTGCTCACCTATCACTGTCATAACACGGGGCTTGGCATTGCACCGAGCAAACTGCACTGCCCTCGCCAGGGGACAGCAAGCAAGCCCACCATRGTCACTAGGCAGCAGTAGCTCCTCTTTGGAGCTGTGCAATGTGCCTTGCTCAGTCAGACAAACCAAGCAACCAGGCCCCTCATTCACAGGTAAYAATTCCGTTGATTGCAATGAAAAACAAGAAACAAAAGTGCCGAAGTTTCATTGAGGTACTACAGGATGCAGCAAAGTCAACTGCTACATGCTTCTGCCCGTCCCATTGACTGCCAYGTACTGCAGTCTTAAGAACTTCTGCCAACCCTGTTTTTTACATGTTCTTTCTAAGTTTAAAAAGGAACAGGATTTGAGCACAAAATGTGGCTTACAACAAGCAACTGGGAGAAACAGTATCAGAGAGGGGCCAATACCCAAGGAGGAGCTTCCCTGTGTCATCTCCAATGCTTGGCCATCCCTGCTTGGAGGCTGGACAGCATTTGCAGCATCGACCCCTTCCAAGRCAACATCCTGTGTGCAGCACGTGGGCAAAGTCTCATTTACTTATTGCTTCATCTGATTTTAAACAGGACTGATCATGATGCTGAATAAAAAAAGGAAATAGCCTATAGCATTATTTGGGGGAGGATAAAACAAAGAAGTCAGAAGTGTCCACGAGTCATCCCTCATCCAGAGCAGCCGTGCATCACCGCAGCCGCCACTGATGACATGAGTCCTCCCGCCTTCCCCCAAACGCTATGAAGAGAATAAGGCATCAATAACAGCAAAGAATGAATGACACTGCTACTTACGTGCTGAAGATAGAGGAAGAGCTTTTCCCAGGATTTGTACAAATAAAGATCATGAACACTAGCTACCTGTAACAGCCACACTGTTCAAAAAACTAAACAAAGTATGATGCTCACCTAACAAGAGGACTTAAAGGGATTTGCTGGATTTTTTGTTTTTTTAAAAGATCCTCTAATAAAAATATAAATTCCCATGACTGCTCCATCAAGTTCCAGTAAAGTGACAATTATTTGTTTCTTCTCATGAGCACCCTCTGCACTAGTGCTGCCAAGGCCACTAAACTCGGTGTCAGCAAGGCCATCTGCACAGCACGTCTCCATGGGACATTTCTATGTTCACCAGCCCCAATCAAAGGCCCTCCCTTGACTCGCTGTGCCAGCCCTGCTCTTTCTTTCCCCTCTTCTTAGAGATTCCACTTTCCTTTGCCAACTGCAGCAAGCCACGAATGCTGCTTTTTAGCATGCAATTGAGTCATTCGCCTGCTTAATTTTTTATTTCACCTCCAATTAAATATTAATCAATAAACAACTAATACGAAGCTTGTGCTGCCTTCAGTGCTTTAAAAACAAATCTCTCTGAGCTCGTGCCATTCATGATTCACTGCGACACGGGGGACAGCCTGCCTCGCGCTCTGGAAGGCGGAGAGTGAAGCATCAAAGGCTCAAGGCTCCACTGACGTTACCCACCGTCACGGAGCTCTCCAGCACTGCGCAACAAGATCCAGAGGCTGCACCTGAGCCGCRAAGTTCTTTTATGAAGAGCCGAGGAACATCGCCAGAGCGCACGTCGGGTGAGCCTGACACGCGCCCACCCCGCGCTTCCTTGGTGTGGGGGGGTATTTCTGCAACAAAAGCTCTAAGATACTTGCAATTGGGATAGGGTGGTACTTCCTGCTCAGGAAAGGTCCAGGAGCTGCAGATGGAGCAGTGGAAAGGCAGGAAATTCGAGTGTTGCACTAAGTTCAGATGGGGTGTGTGCTTGCTGGGGTCCAAGAAATGCTGATCATAAAAATCCATACTCGTGTGATGCATCTTTACTTTCAATCCAAATGAACCACTGAACATTATTGAGGAGCAACATCACCCAACGACCCCACTGACTCAGCGCTCTGCAAGGTTACACTTAGAGCTACTTTCTTCTTCCAGACCAGGACGATGTTTCATTATGTTTTTTGGTGCGTGTGCACGTCTCCAGGGGGCTGTCCCAAGGAACAGGCGTTCAATCCTGTAGCACTCGCATCAAATTTTTCATTGTCTGGTTGCTTCAAGGAAGCGCGGGCCAATTAAAACAGAAGCAATTTGGACGAGCTAAATGAAGGCCTGCTGGGAAAACTATTCTTTGATTTCCCTAATCAGGGAAAGTCTCATCCTGGAAGCTTGTCAATATTTTCTGTGTTGGAATGTCACCACCAAATATGCTGGTATCTGGTATCAGTTGCATCACTGGCATAAACTTAACCACAAAACACCAAAGCAGCCCCTCAGCTTCACCAGAGCAGAATTATAAAGCTGGATTTCATAGATCTTGGAGGTCTGGACCAGGTCTAGATGCATGCCTGATGACTCCCCCAAATTTGAGGATTTACTAATAAATGGCTCTGTGCTCTCAACTGTTTCTAAGCTGATGGTGAGTGCCATCTCAAAACGTGAGGGTATCACCTGCATTAGCACGAGGTTAGATGCATCTCTGCTCCAGGAGAGAGATCACCCCGATGGGTAGCAGCATGAGAAGTGAATCTAAGAGAAAAATGTGAAGTTGTGGCCCAGTTGCATCTTCTCTTACAACTTCTTGTTCCTTTCGCATCAAAGAAAAAAGGAAAAAACAACACATGTATTTGTGAATATAATCTTTGCAGTCCAGAACGATACATGGGCTGTCTTGTCTGTCCAAGCAGCCCATGCCACTAATTGTAGGCACCCAAAAGCACAGAGGTTCACATGCTCCTCACGAACAAACCCTGGCTTTGAAGCTCACTTATCAGCAACACGCAAGATGCAGAAGAAAGGAACAGCAACACGGGCTGAATTGAAGTCACTTGGCACCTTCACAAGGCTGAAATTTTTGTATAACAGCAAGAAGCCAAGAGTAGATCAAGAAAAAGAAACTGAACTTTGTAGCTAAGTGGTGGCTGAAAATATCCCTGATTTCATCTCTACATAACTTAATGCAACTTAAAATTCATTTTTGTAAGAAGAAAAAAAGTATCATTCATTCATGAGGGGCATAAAGCAAGGACAGACATTTGCATGTTCCATGTACAAAAACTTGGAATCTTTTTTATGATACTGCATTTATTTCTTGTTTTAAGGCAAACATATTTCCTGTACTAATATCTGCTAAAGAGGACAAAGATAGGATATCTTTTTGAAAGATTATGAAACAAGAACATTTTTTTCCTTCTTTTATCCCAGGGAATTCTCTGACAAATCTAATTATAAACCCTAACATGGCAATTGCCTCCAGTCAGCTTGCATTCCTTGTACCAGTTTAGGTGGGATAAAGAAAAACATTTTCAAATCTTCTGTAACAGACTGTTGGTTATTTCAAGATAAATATGTTATTACAAAACAAATAATGGGACACAGAGCATCTGTGATTCCAGTTATGCACTAAGCCTATTAACTCAGGATCTCTGGCAAACAGAATCAAACCGGCCCAAACTTACTGCCTATTTTTTCATGCTGTAGCACTACACTAAGGGAGAGGTAAAAAAGGGATGAAATAAAACAACCTTCAACGCCCTGTTCCAGCACAAGTTATTCAAGCTACAGCCTGATACAAAGTCTCCTTCTCCATCACTCCTCACATAAGTGGTCCCAGCAAAGCCAAGCAAGCTGCCGACAGGAGCAAAATGACTGGATGAGCCCGGTGGATTCGCTCTTTGCCTTGGCTGCAGACGGAACTTCCCGCTTTGCGAATGCAGTTAGGAGAAGAAAAGGGAATCATCTTCATCCTCCTCCATCACTCACCACTGCTGACACTTCCAAAACACAAAACACTCATGACTTTGCCATGCAATACATGGGGATCCACCAGCTCCAGGATCTGGGACTAGCAGCCTGCACATCACT